AATGACATTTTCCCCCTTCGTTATAAAACACAATGATTCCTCTTTTCCACAGAATTTATTCAATGTTATCACTGAATTAGTGTTTACTTCATTTGTTAGAAATGCAAGTAATCTCTGCTGTGAATATCCAGACTACCATTCATTTAATAGTGGCAGGTCCCAATCGTCCCCCTTTTAAAGTGGTAACAATGGCAATGGTGGTGACTGGGGGCTTTTGTTAATGGACAGCATGGCAGGTCTATTTGTTGGCATTCTCCCTGACATCCTGAGCCCCTTAATTCTGTCTGACAGATTCAGGCCATGCTCCAGATCTCACAAAAGAGGTGAGAGAGAATATTGATCTGCCTGTTATTGTTGGTGATTTACTGTTCCATTCCTTTAGCAAATTTAAACACACATGCACACATATGAGCACGCATCACTGAGGTCACAGATGCTAGATGGCAGAGTAGTGAGTGATTATTTTTTATCTCTCCTAAGCTCTGTAAGTAACTTCTCTTGTGGATTCATGACAGTCCTGCAGATTAAGTCAAATAAATAACATCTTCTCACCTTAAGGTCAAAGAGTTCGTAAACATGGTAATAAGCATCTGCTTAAGATAGAAACTCATACATATTGAAAGCTTGCAGAAAGCTTTTCTGACTATTCTATAGTCTACAACAAAGTTGAAGTATGTCATTTTGGAGTATTCTGACAAAGTGTAAATAATGCACAAGGCAGGGAATTCCCTGGTGTTCCAGAGGTAAAGAATAGGCCTTGCAATGCAGAGGATGCAGGTTCAATTCCTAGTTGGGAAAATATGAGCCCATATACCATGGAGCCACTAGGCCCATGTAACACAACTAAGGACTAGCCCATGGTGCCACAACTAAGACAAGACACAACCAAGTAAACAATAAGTATTTGAAAATCATGAAGCTATTTCTTCCCTGGGGCCTGAACAGTCATCATAGATATCGCAAGTCTTAAACGATGCTGCAAAAGGACACTCTGCTCATTCTAGGGATGTTGCCATTGTATAAAATACTTTTGAACTTATTTCTCTCCTACCCCAAATCCCTGTTTTTTCATTGTTTTATATACTTACATCATTTTTACCCTCGAAATATGGTATAAGCAAGTTCTAGTACTGAATTAGTTTGCTCATGCTGTGGTAACAATACAGCAGAGACTGGGTAACTTACAAAACAGAGGTGTATTTTCTCATGATTCTAGAGGCTGGCAGTCTGAGATCAAGTTTCCAGCAGGGTCAGTTTCTAGCGAGGCCTCGTTTCCTGGTTTGCAGATGGTCACCTTACTGTATCCTCACATGGTTTTTGCTGTGTGTGCACAGAGAGAGTGAACTCTGGCGTCTCTTCTCGTTATTTGAACGCCAGTACGATCAGATCAGGACTCCACTCTTATGACCTCATTTAATATTAATCACTTCCTTAAAGTTCCTACCTCCAGGTATAGTTATAATGCAGGATTAGAATTGTAAAAGAACTTTAGGGGAACATAATACAGTCCATAGTAGCCATCTTGTTTATTTGGCTTAACCTCTCCAAATTTATTATGCCTGTATAAACAAATATCACATTTCCTCTTGAGATAGATGACACTTATTACTCAGATAAGTGTCAGTTCTTAGAACATGTCATAGCTCTTAAGGCAATTTCAAAAGAAGTTCTAGACAAGTGTTGAAAAAATGTAGCATTAGCCAGAATAAATAGTTTCCTAAAATGTCTATATTCTTATCGAGAGAGAATAAGTTATAAGAATTATTTTTATTTGTTCATTTACAAAAGGTCTTATCCTACCAATACTTCATTATTCAAAAGGAAAATGTAAATATCCCTTTGCTAATAGCAACTATAAACTCTGGACAAAATACTAAAAGCAATGTCTTGAGGGCAGATTCTAAAAATAAGTTTTCACTAGAAGAAAATATAAATAATACAGTGTATGTTTTCTGTCCCTATGGATTTGGCCCAGTGAAGAGTGGATAAAATTCTTATATTCTGATAGAAAACCCTCTGTCTTTGTGTCCTGAGGAATCAAGGAATGGAGCCAGAAACCAGAAATGATAGAGAATGTGAGGGAATCATGGCAGACGGAGCTGGACAAGGGAATCTTCAAATTGTGTAAATAAACTCTGTGCTGGTCTCTGGATGAGCCGGAACTGTGGGTGCCTGGGGGAAGCTACCAGCAGACCAGCCCAATATAAAAGAATTAAACTTAGATTCGAGATGTCACCCATCACAGGTGAGCCAGAATTGCAATTCGAATCTGACCAAGTCAATTACCTACAGAAACAAAAGTATCAGTACACTTTAAGGAATACAGCAGAATCTACAACCTACATTTACAATGTTTAAGATGCAGTCCAAATTATGTTACGTGCAGATAACCAAGAAAATATGAGTGATTTTCATGGGGAAAGACAATGAACAGAGTCCAACCTTGAGATGATTCAAAGTTGTAGCTATAAGACAATAACTTTAAAGCAGGTGATATAGATGAATATTCAATTCAATGAGGTAAAATAAAATATACTTGTGATAAACCAAAAGATAGGAAATACTAGCAGAGGAAGAGAATACATACAAAACAACCAAACAGAAATTTTAGAAGCAAAAAATACAGTGCTAGAAATTCAAATGACTTTAATTGGACTTATTAATAGAATGAAGATTACAGGGGAAAATATTCAGTGCACTTGAAAGATAGGTCAATAGAAGTTACTCAGTCTGAACAAAAGAGAGAAAACAGATTAAAAATAAAAATAAAAAATATATATATATAAAAATAAAATAAAATAAAGAATTAAAATAAACAAAAATGAATAAAAATAAACAGCCACACAAAGACTTATAGTTGATCAAAATATCCACCATATGTGAAGATGTAGTCCAAAAAGAAAAAGAGACTGAAGTGGAGAGAAAAAAGTCTTAAAAAATGACTAAAAAGTTCACAAATTTCGTGAATGGCAGATTCTAAAAGCTAAACAAATTTCAAGCAGAATTACTACAAAAAAAAAGCAAAACAAAACACCACTCCTTATCTACCAAGAATTAACACATTATAGTCAAACTAGTGGTAAATGAAAGATAAGAAAAAAAAATCTTAAGAAAATTAAAACTATCATTTAAAATTAACAAGTAAAAGAAAAATAGTTGAGAGGAAAAGATATGAACATATACTCATTGAAGATAAAACCAAAAATGGTCAATAAAAAAACAAATATATCTTATCTATTAATAATCAAGGAGATTCTAATTAGGTGACAGTAAGATAACATTTTATTTCCATCAGATTACCAAAAATTAAGATACCTGACAATATGATATCTAAGTAAGAATGAAGATTAATGGAACTCACATTGCTGTGAGAGGCAAATTGGTAAAACCATGTTAGATAGAAATTTTGCAATGTCATATAAATTAAAGATGCCCTTGTGGACTCTGGGAGAAGGCGAGGGTGGGATGTTTCAAGAGAACAGCATCGAAACACGTATATTATCTAGGGTGAAACAGATCACCAGCCCAGGTTGGGTGCATGAGACAAGTGCTCGGGCCTGGTGCACTGGGAAGACCCAGAGGGTGGAGAGGGAGGTGGGAGGGGGGACCGGGATGGGGAATACATGTAAATCCATGGCTAATTCATTTCAATGTATGACAAAAACCACTGCAATGATGTAAAGTAATTAGCCTCCAACTAATAAAAATAAATGAAAAATAAAAAATTAAAATTAAAATTAAAAAAATAAATAAATAAAGATGCAAATATACTACTCTAGCAATTTTACTTATAGACATATACCTAGAAAATTTCTTTAACAAATGCATAGTATTGTGCATAAATATATTTTACAACATTGCTGATAATGTAAAATATCATCAAAAGGGATGAATCTATTATGTTATCTTCACAAAAAGAATATTATATGGCAGTGAAACAAAACTTAAAGCAGGTGTTTTATAGATCAACATAGGTATATCTCACAAGCATAATGTTAAAAAAAACTGCATTTATATAAAAATTGTAAACATATACTATGAAACTATACAGTTGACCCTTGAACAACATGGGTTTGAACTGCATAGGTCCACTTATATGTGAATTTTTTTCAATAAATTGGCAAAATTTTTGAATATTTGCAAAAATTTTTAAAAACCCAGAGATGAATTGGCATAGCCTAGTAATTTAAAAATCTAAGGAAAGTTAGGTATGTCATGAATGCATAAAATATATGTAGATACTAGTCTGATCATTTGCTACCAAACATATACACAAATCTGTTATAAAAAGTTAAACTTCATGAAAATATGCATGAAATACTTACAGACTATGAATGATGCCATTAACAGTGGAAAGAAGTGTAAACAAGTATAAAGATGCAGTATTAAATCATAATTGCATAAACTGTAGTCTATACTATACCACTGTAATAATTTTGTAGCCACGTTCTATCGTGGTGAGCTCAAGTGTTGGAAGTAACTGCTTATAACATGGTATGATGCTAGCAATCTCCATGTGAGCAGTTTGTCTCTCCAATAACTTGTATATGGCAGTGAAAGGTGATCTCTCACAGTTCTTGCATATTATTCATCATGTTTGGTGCAATACCATAAATCTTGAATAGCACCACAGAATGCAGATGAAGTGTCACTAGTGATACTGGTGTTCCCAAGAAGCAGGGAAAAGTCATGACATTACAAGAAAAAGTTGAGTTGCTTGATGTGTACCATAGATAGAGGTCTGTAGCTGCGTTTGCACATCACTTCAAGATAAAGATAAATTTAACGTGAGAACTGTTGGGGAAAAAAAAAGAATATGCATGAAGCTATCACTACAGCTACTCCAGCAGGTGTGAAAACTCCATTATTTTGAAATAAATTTTGCTCTTGTACTGAAAGTCCAACTTTTATGTGGAGACAGGATTGACATACCTATGGACATAAGAAAGATATACTGATGGACTCTAGTATAATTTGAGAAAAATTGAAGTTATTATATGATGAACAGCAAAATGAAGGAGAAGGATATAAAGCTGGATAATTCAATGCCAGTAAACAGGTGGTTTGATCATTTTAGGAAGAGGTTTGGCTTAAAAAATGTTAAGATACCATCGAAGCTAAACAAGACGCTGAAGAAAATGGAGCAGAACAAGACAGCAGCCTCTAGGTACCGCCAGAAGAAGAGGGCAGGACAGGAGTCTCCCACTGGTGAATGTAAAGATCTAGAAAAGAAGAATGAGGTTCTGAAAGAGAAGGCAGACTCCTTGGCCAAGGAGATCCAGTATCTTAAAGATCTGATAGAAGAGGTTCGCAAGGCAAGGGAGAAGAAATGGGTCCCCCAGTTAGGGTAGTCAGGAGTATGTGTGCTTGTATATAGGAGGCTGAAGCTGTGTTTTAATAAATTATTTTGCAGTGAAAGTAAAAAAAAAAAAGTCAAGATAACAGGAGAAGCAGCTTCTGTTGACAAGAGAGAGCAGAGGAGTTCTTAGATGCCATTAAAAATAAAAGATCATCAAGAAGAAAGTATATCTGTGTGAGCAGATTTTTTTTATGCAGATGAAAATTCCCTATTCTGGAAAAAGAAATTGCCACAAGGACATTTGTTAGTAACAAAGAGAAGCGTGCATCATCGTTTACATCAGGAAGGGATAAGCTAGCTTGACTCTGGTGCACACACGATTGGTTTATGATCCAGACCACCCTTATAATCTCTAAGCCTTGAAGGAAAAAATTATACAACAGCTGTGGTCTATTGGTTGTGTAACAGGAAGGCTTGGGTAATAAGAACTTTTTCTTAAAGTTTTTATTCAAGAAAAAAAAAAAAAGGCTTTTTCTTGAATGGCTCCACTGATGCTTTGTTCCTGAAATCAGGAAGCATCTTGGCAGAAAGGCATTGCTTTTTGAAGTTTTTTTTTTAATTGGACAATACCCTTGGCCATCGAGAATTCTATGAGATTAACAATAAAGTCATCAAAGTGGTCTACTTGCCCCCAAAGCAATCTCTAATTTTGCCTCTAGATCAGGGGATCATAAGGACATTTCAGGTTCACTACACATGGTACTCTACGGGAAAGACTGTCAACATTATGGAAGAAAACACTGACAGAGTATATGAATGTGTGTAAGGACTACACCACTGAAGATGCCATCATTGTTATAGAAAAAGCTGTGAAAGCCATTAAGACTGAAACAATAAATTCTTGCTGAAGAAAACTGTGTCCAGATGTTTTGCATGACTTCACAGGATTTATGGCAGAGCCAATGAAGGAAATCATGAAGGAGATTGTGGATGTTGGGGAAAAAAATATATATGTGCTGTGGTGAAAGGGTTTTGAGATATGCATCTTGGAGAAATTCAAGCCCAAATAGAAATCACACCAGAGGAATTAATAGAAGAGGACCTGATGGAGATGAGGGCTTCTGAACCAGTGCCAAATGATGAGAAGAAGACATAGAGAAAAATACCAGGAAACATACTGACATTAGACAATCAGGCAGAAGGTTCCAGTTATTCAAGACTGCTTTTGACTCTTTTTAATGACATGGACCCTTCTATAATATTGGCACTGAAACTGAAGCAAATAATGGAAGGAGAATTGGTACTATATTGAAACATTTTGAGAGAACCAAAAAAGCAAAAAGTCAGACAGAAATTACGATATATTTCCCTAAAGTTACACATATTGTGCCAGCCTCTCCTGCAGCCCCTTCCATCTCCTCCACCTCTTCCACTCTGCCACCCCTGAGGCAGCAAGACCAACTCCTCTTTTTCCTCCTCCTCCTCAGCATATTCAAAATGAGGATGATGAGGATGAAGAATCCACTTCCACTTAATGAATAATAAATAAGTATCATGACATACAGTTAATAAAATTATGTTGTGCATGTGTATGTTATCTTGTGAAAATCTGATAACTGTATGGCAAGAATGGTATGAGATATTTTTGTGTTATCATCATTGTCACCTAAGTATTTATCATTCAGAACCCTGTATGCAATATTTGCATTGAAGTAGATAGCTTCTCCTTCCATAGGCACAAGGTGAGTGATATTTAATATAAATGAATTGTGTGTTATTTTTCTTACAGTTTTGTAACTTTACTTTCAAAGAATTGCATTACTATACAGTATAGCTCTCTCTCTTGTAACTGGTGAGACTACATATCAGCCCATCATTACAGGTAAGTGGGTTTTTTTCCACTACAATGATGTTTCTAATACTGTTAGAATACCATAAATATTTTACAACAATTCATTCTTTAACATATAGGCTAGGCTTCCATAAAACAGTCATGTTGTTGTTTCTTCATTATAAGTGCATGAATCATTATACCTGTAAATAAACATGAATTTCTTTTTCACACATCTTTTCATTTTTGATTCTAGAGTTTGTAATACTTATAGCATCTACAATGTTTACACCATATAAGATAATATTGATGCAAGTATTGATAGACAATTCATCTTGAAAACAGATGATGTAAACTTAAGGTATCAATAAATACAAAACAGTATTGTAAATGTGTTTTCCTTTTGATTTTCTTTCCTCTAGCTTATTTTAAGAACACAGGATATAAGATACATTAAATGTATATATATGTGTGTTAATATATAAACACATACAATATATATGTTAATAGACTGCTTATGTTAACATTATGGTTTCCAGTCAATAGTAGGTTATTTATAGTTAAGTTTGGGGGCAGTCAAAAGTTACATGTGCACTTTGAACTGTGCAGTAATCAGCACTCTTACCCCATGCATTGTTCCAGGGTCAATTGTACATTGTATGTGTGTGTCCATATATTTATAGTAAAATTATCAACAAATTCATAAAATTTTAATAATAAACACTAAATTCATTATAGTGATTTTTTGAAGGGGGCTGATGCAACCAATGGAGGAGTCACAGCATAGGATGGAGAATAGTCAAGGCTGTTACACTCGTCCCAGCAAGACAGGATCACTTGAACTCAAAATTTAGAGAGCTGAAATCTAAATCCTGAGTTTTTTAAAAAAAATTTACCAGCTGAACCTAATCCATTAGTTAGAGATCTCATATTTAATAAGCAAATGTATCACTTTTCGTTATGTGAAAATCCTCAAACTGAGATTGAACTTTCCTCATTATCAGACAAAAGGAGGACCTGTCTCCTCACCTTGTTGTAAGGCTATGTAACAGCACTCACCTGTCACCAGTTTTTATAACTAAACAAACCACAGAGTTATTTATATAAAGTTCAACACAAAGCAGCAATGAGAAAACATATCAATGTACTGGATTTGATGAAAGCTTAACTTCTGCAAAATATTTGAGTCACACGATTTTGGCAGCTAAAAATCTTTTTTGCATGTTCATCTTTAATATATAACCCTGAGAAGTGAGACTTCATTAATATCATTTGCAAACTCAATATCTGGATACATCTATTCTACCAATATTTCATTTTAAATGGCACACTTCACACCTGAAAAATTGCCTATCTTGATATGACTTCCTAACAACAATTCTCTGCACATATTTCAATGTGATTCTTATTCCAGGGACTTCAGAATGTTTCAGTCATGTCAACACACTAAACATGTATATTTATATATGCATGTGTACATACACACAAACACACACACACATATATATAGGAGTAGGAAATGACATCCCACCCTAGTATCCTTGCCTGGAAAATCCCAAGGACAGAAGAACCTGGCGGGCCTCAGTCCATGGGATCGCAAAGAGTCAGACACGACTGAATGACTGAGCATGCATGCAGGTACATGGTTTGCTATGTCCTCCTCCAGGGGATCTTTCCAACCCAGGGATTGAACTCACATCCCCTGCACCTCTTGCTTTGCAGGCAGTTCTTTACCACTGAGCCACCTGGAAAGTGTGTGTGTGTGTGTGTGTGTGTGTGTGACAGAGAGAGAGAGAGTGTGTGTTTGTGTGTGTGTGTGTGTGACAGAGAGAGAGAGAGAGAGTGTGTGTGTTTGTGTGTGTGTGTGTGTGTACACAGATACTGAAAACTCTTCATTCAGTAGTTTACTGATTTTCTTCTTTATAACTAATGCTTGGGATGAAGTGCCTCAAAATCTACTGGAGGTAAAATAGAAAAGCAAAGAGGTTAAAAAAATGCTATTAGTCTTGTTCTATTCTTTTTATAAAGGAAAGCTCAGATATATGATTGCTGGGGTTTCCTATATACATTTGAATAAATTGATTTTCCAGTGAGGAAAAGAAGTTTCAAAAACTGCTACTTTGCACAGGCAATTGGAACTCCAACCTAAACTAAGCATAAGAGCTTATTCAGAGCATGACATCCTGTGGGTCAAGACTGAAACCAATGCGTAATTATTCTAAAGGAAATTTCACTGTTGAGAAAAAATGTTTTCAAACTCAGATCTAAAACAAAAATTATAGAGCATAGAATAAAGACAAATGCTGAAAAAAATTGCAGTAATTTGAAGAACTGAACAGCAATGGAACAGAGCTATATGTATTTTAAATCTCTAATTAGTGATTATATCCAAGAACATGAAATTAGATGTATAAACAAAAATAATTCATTTTTAAAAGTATCAATGTGAAATCCAGTGGAGAAAATAGTCATAAAAATAAGACATCAGTAGACTATACATAAGAGAATAGCACATATAAAAAGAAAATTTTTACTTGGATTGAAAGACTGAAAAAATTTTTCAAAATGCATCACAGATAATACTAGAAAAAATACAACAAAATTTGGGACATTGAAGATAAGAAAAGAAGTTTCAGATCCTGCTAAAGGCAGTCCCTGAATATATGAATAGAAATAACGGGATTGGAGTGAAAGGATAATATATATTGTTTATTTTGAGATAAATCAAAACACGTATGCTCAAACTGAGTTGGCTCATCATGTGTCAATAGTATAACTGAGAATTTTAAGAAAAATCTTGAAGAAAAATTGCATATAACTAAAGAGGAATTAAAATCTTGATACATATATATTTATGTACTCCCAGCTCCAAATTCACTCTTGGTTATCTGGTATGTGAAAACAGAAATGGGCTCTTTAAAGTATTTTTCTTTACCAGTTGGTATGATGCTAAACTTTGTCAATAAAGCACACTGGAGAGGCATGGCAGAAGATGTACAAATAGCAAATATGCACATGAGAATTTGGAACTTTTACTTCTAGGAAATGGAATTGATGGACATTTCCCTTTTCCTTCTGCATAGTATAACCAAAAATGCTAGACATAATTTATTAAAGAAATTGAAGAGACTCTAAATGGTGGAGAGAAGACAAACAGACTGGCAACCTCAGAACCTGAGGAACAATATGGTAAGGAGTTCCCTTAGATTTCTTTTCAACTC